ATTAAACAAGTTATTATCATGATCGCGCAGCTACAGATAAAAACATTGATCTAATCAACTTTTATCTTAGAATTTTTGCTAATTGTGAAGTAACTAAGAAAGAAAAACTTATTTACCACAAAACAATCAATACATAATGTTATATTCATAAATAAATTCAAATTTCAATCTCAATCACATATACAGTACGCCACGCACACAGCCTGCACCTAATTCTTAGGTGCAGCTTTAGGCGCCACACACTATTTAATTGTTATCTTACAATTACATGTCGCATTTCTTAATTAATAGAGCCAAAATTTCAGAAGCAAAATAATTTAAAAGATATTTCTGTTGTTCGCGCAGTACAGTCTGTGAGCACTGCGGTCTAATTAAAATAATAATTGCTCAGAGATTCTAAAAACTGCACGCTCATTATTTGTGATTGAGCGTGCGCCTCTGTGAACAGCAGTACCGCTCAAGCATGAAGTACTGAGCAGTACTTTAATCAATTATATGTAGTAGCAGCAACATGTCGAACTTTAAAGTGGTGTCAAGACTCAAGAGACTAAAATAATTATTACTTTGATTGAAATAAATTTTCGTGCACATACAGAATGAATGGTTAATAATTTAATATATATGTAGACCAAGGTCTGTGCACGGGATGCTTCCTGGAAGAATCCAGTTCTTTTAGCGGGGCACCCTACCTAAAGCCAAATTGAGATATAATAATCATATTAAGTATATTATATTAAAAGTGGTAAATCGGGTGCTAGTAAAGCTCTTGCAGGCAACTGGCTCCTTTTGCCAACTGCTTTTGGTTTAAGCGCTGTCTCACATTTGGAACTGGCACTGGTATAATTGTAATATCCTACGAAGTCAGCATGCTATATTATTTTGCAAAACTCGTTTAATATCTTGACAATATTTAAAGTTTATGGTTTTAGGTTTAGGCGCGGCGCACCGCTTATATGTTATATATATATATTCAGCTTCTGTTTTCAGCGATGTGTTGCTACACACTGTATAGCATGTGGGTCAAGCGCGGTGCCGCGCCCAAGCAGCAAAAGAGTTATTTATTTTAAAATTTATTTTTGTATCTCAAAAAATGATGTAAAGTTTTTAATATGACGTAGAATTAAAGCTATTTCCGTACAGCCTAAGTGCTAAGCATGCTCGTTAGAAAAACTATGAACAATGAACATAACATGCTAGCTTTCTTTATTTTTGTAAGTCGCGTCGGCTGACATCTTGGGTTGTACTGGATGTAACAAGTTTATTATCGGATGTCTACTTATATTTATTATGATATCATTATTCATTGTAATGGCAATAAAATTTAAATTTTGTTTTACTTAAAAAAAAATTTTGTTTTACTTATTCCTAGGGAAATAATCAGAAGTCGAATACCAATCAAATAATATGATATATAGGAGTAGTAACCATATTTACTATGCAAAATGCCCCAACCACATAGTGTAAATTTATATAGAATTCAATTATTCAATTCGCGATTTTGACACCACTTGGAGGTCTTTTGGGCACTAACATTCTTGTTCCTGAGCCAATTTAAGGCCATTTAAGCATTTGAACCAGTCAAAAAAGTTTAAGTTGTACATCTTTTAAAGGTTTTGAGGAAATTTGTGTTAAAGTTGATGCCGTGGAGTCAGTAAAATGGTACGGGGATACAGAGGGCGTTCAGGAGTCCGTGGACGCCCTAAAATTATTATCTGGTAGCTGGTGCTTGAAAATAGAAATAGTGATTACTAATGGTATTCGGAAATATCTAACCGCAATATAAAGCTCTCTATTCATTCAAACGTTCGAATGTAAGCGCATGCATGATCTTAGTGAAATTTTGTGTTGTAGGGTGTCCAATCCTCGTTTGGACAACTAAGACCCGCAGTTTTCACGCATAGTTAATTGTAAACGGTACAAAGCACATCAAGCGCATCCACTACAGGTAATTTATATGATTTGGTTGTCCAGAACACCTTGCAATCTGAACTGTTATGATACTGCGCGGCTGAGATCTTACACATGTGTGTCCTGTTTCACTCATGTTATACGTTTTTGTTTTTGTTTATTTGCTGTCGCCTGTGACACATTACATACATGAGGCACTGTGGCCTGTGGGTAACTGTAATGTACGTTGGAATAATTTAATTAATTAATTAACTCTCTGCTATGGTAATGGTATTGTCAATTGTATGCAGTCATCGGTGAATAGACATCGGCAGTTTTGGGGGGGGGGGGGGGGGGGGGGGGTGGTGGGAGCTTGGGGCGGCCCTTAAGCTAAGATAGATAGCATTCCAAAAATAAGCATATCACAATTACATTATTAATTTACATTATCAAAAGTAAATGTTAAACATTAACCCAAAATTGCTTCATTATTATTCGCTGACAAACCGGAGAATATGTGCTGTCCAAACAGTAGAATATGTACTGAGATCGGTTCACAAGATTGCCATGGGAGGGGGGAGCGAAAATGTGCGATGCACCTTAACTGACACATGACAATGTCAATTCATTGCAGCTCGGCGCGGCACAGTATAGTAGCGCATTTCGCCGATCTAGCGAGTACGTGGCACAATAACGCATCGCACTACAACGATAAATGAAAGGAAAACAATATCTAAATTTGATTGCCATTATGATAAATAATAATATTATAATAAATGTAAATAGACATCCGATAAGTAAAAAAATGTAAGTAAAACACAATTCAAATTTAAGTAATAAACTAAAATTACTGTTAATCCAAGTTGAATTGCAATCAGCAGATGCGCGGCTTTTACGGTTATCTATAATATAATATGTATAATCTGTATTAATAAAGATCAAATCTCAAATTTGAATTCTTGATTCTTAAAATATGTGTATTTAAAAATAGTTTCTGTAATATAATTTTGTCATACGTTGTATGACCCGCCGCGCACGAAGTGCGCGGCTCCCCCCACTATAGTGAAGCGACCGTGGGGGTCACCACGTGATACAAATATAATTAATAATAGGTGTCATGAATTGGCACAGCATTTTTCGTTTCTGATTTTGATTAATTTGGTACCAAACGTTGTATTATTACATTTAACTGAAAATTGTGTAGCACGATAACTTCGAACTGTATGTATGTGGGCCTTTTATGCATCGCAAAAATGTTTAATATGCCTATAACTCCTAAAATATTGAATATTTTTGGAATAGTTTTAACACAATTTTTTGTACCAAATTTTTAAATTTGTAATATTTGAAACATCAAATTAAAAAAATTGTTTTAAATTTTACACAACCTTCCAAAAATTTTGAAGATAATTTTCTTTTAAATCGTAAAATATTAATTAAGTTTTATCTCACTGGGTTGATTCTGATGCCATAATAATTAAGTGATAATAACTAAAACACAGGGGGCCCCCTAAGATTGCCCCCCCCCCCCGCACTGCGGGTAATTGCAGCAATTGTACCAACATTCATCTATTGGTACAAGGTGGGTTTTGTATCTGCCCCTTACGATGTAGAGGCTGTGGCAGCTGATAGGAAACCTTGTCAAGCTCTTTTGAACATCAGGTATTTCGATTAAAAAAAGCGGGGACTCCCAACCCATGAAACTGAGACACCTCGCAGCAAGTAGACCAAAGTGGCTCTTGCTTGTGAAGGGTGTATTAACTACCCGCCGAGGCGGTGGGTTGGGAGTCCCTCCTGGGATCATTTCGTCCGTAAAATTTTACACATTATAAAAGCTACAATAAGTTATCTATAAAATTTACATAAACAAACTTAAGAGACCTCAAAGCTCGTCTTCTGAGGAATGAGATTGAAGGATACATCATCCAGTCCAAGGTGCTGGTATTTCGATTAATCGTAGATATGCCTCTGGTTCAAAATAATGTTTATTGAATTATAGAATTCTAGTTTTGGCGAGGAGGCCTTGGCAGATTTCCAGGTATTCACGAATTCTTCCCTTATATTATGACTGATTTGGGTGGAGAGCTTATATTTTAAGGAAGATGAGTGGAGAAGTTGTATTTGGTGAAAAGCTTGATGGTATAATAATCTCAAAAAACATATTAAAAGTATATTGTATAATGTAAGGGAAAATTTAACAAAAAAGGCGCCAGTACCAAGAGATAAACCCTTTCCGCAATATAGGTCCTGGGTAAACCAGTAGAAATCCTGGGTAAACCAGTAGAAATAAAGGATTATAAAGGAAAAGAAGAAGAAGAAAATGTTTAAGTGGACATCATCAGCAAATGACTTGGCTATCGGGTTTGGGGGTCTAACACCTGTACCGATATTAACTTGCCAAGCCCCCCTAGCAATCACTCGTCACACAGGGATGTCAAAGTGCAAAGAAACTGCTGCTAACTGCTGCTAACTTCTAAAGAACAAAGAGGGAGTATCCTGGACCCCGAAATCCACCACTTTTCTGTACTTTCAGAGGTACCAATGTGGCAGGAAACCAGGGCTCATGCTGCCGCTGAGCTAAAGCTGAGCTAATACTTTCAACACTACTATATAACAAATAATTTGAGTTCAGGGATGGCAAACAAGGACGGGCAAACGGGGCACACTGATAGTGCCCCAGCCAGTACAGAACATGTAGAGACCAACGGACAAGCTGAAGAAGAAAGTACTAACGAACCTGTGTATAATCAGAAAGTATTAAACTCAACCAATTCTATCAAACCTCAATCATCTTCTTCGAGATATGACTTTCGGCGCCACATCAGAACAGAGAAACCCTTGTTAAATAGACCTCAAGTCCTAGAAGTAAACATCAATCATAAAACAAGAGTTGATAAGAAGAAAAAATGTAGACCAAATGAGAAGGAGAAGATAGATGACATATGTCCTATATGTAAAACCAGAGTTGAATGGCATGTAGATGCTTTGCAGTGTGAGGAGTGCGAGGTTTGGATTCATAAGGACTGCTTGTGTATGAGTGATGAAGAGTATGAGGATCATAAAACCAGTGAAGATGATGAATGGTACTGTGACTGCTGCCAGTTGAATAGATCAAATAATTTGACGTGGGGTACCATTGCATGGTTGGGGAAGGGTGTATACGGTCAGAACTTACGGGGATATATGATGAAATTATTACGTGGTGTAGGAATTTGTTTATGGTGCCAAGGGGTAAGAGTGGGGAGAAGTTTATCAAAGAGTTGACACGACTTTTGTACCTGTTTGTGAATAAAACGGCCTGGGAGAGTCTTTCATTGCAGCTAGTCCATATATTTATCCCTATTATGTTACAGAAGCCTTCATCTAAGTCAAAAGCTAGAGACAATGCCAAGTACCTGGTAGATAGACTAGAAAAGTGGAAGGATGGCGACCTCAATTCCCTCATGGATGAGGCTCGTGTCATCCAGGAGAAGCTAAAACGAAAGAAAAAGTCTGAAGATCCATCGAAAATGAAATGCTTTAGTAGGTTAATGATGGTGGGTAAAGTATGTCAGGCCATGAAGCTCATCAACAACGAAAACTCAGTTGTTGGGGTACACACATTAAATAGAAAGATAAAGAGTCTATTACAAGAGAAACATCCTAAAGCTGAGACACCTCCAGCTGATATCCTTCTACCTATAACAGCGCCTCAGGCACAGTCGGTGATATTTGCTGAAATATCGACAGAGCTAGTTGAGAAAGCGGCACTCCATGTTAAGGGCTCCGGTGGCCCAACCCATTTGGATGCAGATGGGTGGAAGCACATCTTGTGCTCTAAAGCGTATGGGAAACTTCCTTTTCAACTCTGCGGTGCAATAGCTGAATTTGCAAAGCGTTTGTGTGTAGAGGATGTTAACCCAGACAGTCTGAATGAGTTTGTGGCCTGTAGACTGGTACCACTGAATAAGGGTGACGATAAGAGAGGTAATCCTGGTGTAAGGCCGGTGGGGGTAGGAGAGGTTCTTCGGCGTATTGTTGGCAAGGTGGTTATTGGGGTAATTAAGGATGATATACAAGAGGCTGCAGGACCTCTTCAGTCATGTGCTGGGCTAGAGTCAGGCATTGAGGCATCCATCAGAGCAGTTAAGAGGACATGGGAAGATCCTAAGACAGAGGCAGTGCTTCTTGTTGATGCTGATAATGCGTTTAACAGGCTTAATCGCAAAGCAGCTATTCACAACATTAGGCAGCTATGTCCTCCGTTTCACCAATACCTGAAAAACACCTATCAGAAATCAGCCAAACTCATTGTCAACGACACATATTCGTGTGAGATAATTTACTCTGATGAAGGGGCAACACAAGGGGATGTGGCCGCAATGGCAGAGTATGCTATCGGTATTCGTCCTCTTATCAACATCCTGGCCAGCGTGACAAAGTTAGGAGAATTGATGCAAGCGTGGTATGCAGATGACTCTGCAGCAGCAGGTACCCTGAAGAAACTCCGGCTGTGGTGGGATTTACTCAGTGTAAACGGTCCTAAGTTAGGCTACTTCCCTAAAGCAGTGAAGACTATTCTTATCTTAAAAGAAAAATCGCTACTACCAGCAGCCACGTTTTTATTTGGAGAGACTGGTATAGAGATCACATGTGATGGGGAGCGTCATCTGGGAGCAGTGATAGGTGGAGAGGAGGCTAGAGAGACATATGTAAAAAAGAAAGTAGAGAAATGGGTGAAGGATGTAGAAGAGTTGTCAGATATTGCCCTCGATGAACCTCAGGCAGCCCTATCAGGGTATACCAAAGCCCTATGTCATCGGTGGACCTTTGTGATGCGTACCATCCAAGACACTAAAGACCTCTTCATCCCATTGGAGAAGTGTATAAGAGAAAAGTTCATCCCTGCAATTATTGGTAGGAATGTGTCTGATCTGCACAGGAGAATGTTTGCGCTACCTGTAAGATTAGGGGGGCTTGGTATTGTTAATCCAGTAGAGATCGCGGAGAAGGAATACCAGACGTCACTTAAGATAACTGAGGAGCTGGTTGACCTTATCTATCACCAGGAGACATCCCTGATGAAGTTGGATAAAATTAAGATAAAGGGCAGAGTAGATTGCCTCAAGTTAGTTAAAGAATTACGCTTGAAGAAGGAGCTTGCTGAGATAATGAGTGAAGTGGATGAGAATACCAGGGAGTCATTGCAGCTGGTACAAGAGCATGGGTCAGGAGCTTGGCTAACATGTCTCCCCATTCAACAGCTAGGGTATGCTTACAGCAAGCAAGACTTCAGAGATGCTGTTCATCTCCGGTATGGTTGGGACATCCCTAACACCCCAAGATTCTGCGATTGCGGAGCCAAGAATGATCACAATCATATCCTCAACTGTAAGAGAGGGGGGTATGTGAACTACCGTCATAATAACGTGAGAGACTCCGTTGCTGAATACCTTAGGCTGGTGACCAAGGATGTGAGGATTGAGCCCCTTTTAACACCTATAGAATCGGCCAACTTCCAACAAAAGGGCAACAATGCTGATAAGGCTAGGCTTGATATATCAGCAAGAGGAGTGTGGAGCACATTTGAGAGGACTTTCTTTGATGTGCGCATTTTCAATCCTAAATCGCCTACATATCAAGGAAAGACCATGCCACAGCTCTACACTCTGCACGAGAATGAGAAAAAGAACCAGTACATGAACCGAGTGCTACAATTGGAGAAAGGGTCATTCGTCCCCCTTGTATTTACCACTACAGGAGGAATGGCACCGGAGGCCAAGTGTTTCATAAGAAGACTTGCTGTGTTGATAGCCACCAAGACAAAGGAGGACTACAGCCAGGTGATGTGTAACATCAGGACACGCCTGAGCATGGATATAATGAGGAGTGTGCTAGTAGCAGTTAGAGGTGTACGTGGAAAGGCAAAGAAGGCATGGACTGCCCCTATATCCAATGTCTCCTTCAACCTGATACCTGAGGAGAAGAGCTACGAGGGATAGATGATATCTATTGCTCAGGATTTACGATTGTGCTCTGCCAATTGCATCACTTGATTTAATTTATTGTATATATACTGTTTGACACGTTTTTATTTTTTGCTAAAGCAGTAGAGGGGATGGCGGCTTCTCTAGGATCTAACACGTCCTGAAGCAGACCAACACTATGTCCCAACGCACTGGTGTTGGGATGTCTGCCCCCGGTGCCTGTCCGGGTCAATAAAGCAGTCAAGTTTCAACACTACTATATAACAAATAATTTGAGGATGTCCAATATGTCCATGGCTTGCTAAAGTCAACTGCATCGGGGGTACTATGATGGTCCAGGGGGTGCTGAATCAGAAGACTGGCACGCTAACCTGTTAAGAAGTTAAGTAGTTGTAGTGAATAATGTTTCTGTTTGGAAATGTATAACTCCATTCACACCACAATCCACAATTGGACAATTGGACAACCCTGATTAATGTATAGATAGTGTTGAAAGAATTTTGAGCTTAAATCTTGAACCAATACTTCTGATAACTTTTGGGGCTGTGCTCCAAGAACAGGCTGACATATATATGGCTTATGGATTATATTTAATGTATTCTGATTAAATGATAGGGCTTGCCAGTCCAACCACCTCATATTTTTCATACTCACTCACTCTCTTGTCCCATGTGTCGTAGTCCGTCAGTCTGTTCAATTTTTCAATCTTTTGAATCATTTTGACTAATCCAGTTTAAATACACTTTCATTGTTTTCCACAACGGAACATTTGAAATTGCTATATGCTTTTCTTTCTTTCCAGGGAGTGTGCTGGTTGGACGTGAAGGTGCCCCCTGGATTGCCTGGTACCCCCAATTGCTTCTACGCCATGAACGATACACCCACTGACTCTTCTCAATCTGTTCCGGACCAGACTTCAACTACTACGGTTCCGGATCAGACTACACCTGCACCCACTACTCCTACCATTATGGTGGAAATTGACGAAGTACTGAAGGATGTTGAAAATATAATTCTTTCAGAATACCACGAATCAGAGGAAAATAAAGATTGTAGCAGCCTCCTTAGTTTCTTCTCAGGGTCTACCCCCCTTGACAACTTCCTGTTGACTCACTCGCAGAGCCTGCGCTCAGAGGTAGATATCATTAAGCTCAACATCTGTAACATTCTAAAACTTGATGTGAACAAATTTGCAATCATAACGCCATCTATGGTTAAGAGCTGCCCATCTCTTAAAAAACTCACCTTAGCAGAGGGTCTACTATCCCTGCTTGGCCTTGCAGAAAATGTCTGTGCTGTAATAAGTGGCAAGAGATGTGACCACGAGGTTAAGTCCCCTTCTTATTTGTCAGCCCCCTCCAGTATTCCAATGGGTCATACTACTTCTAACGAAAGCTCTATACACAAGTCCTTAGAAGATATTCAAACATCCATTAAAAACTTGAAAGACAATGATAGCCACCTTAGGACTCTTGACTCCATAAACACCAAGCTTGCTGAGCTCAAAGTTGATATTAACTGTTTCAAAAACAGCAGATCCTCAAACGTATCCACTCCTGACCTGCCCATGCCTCCTTTTATCATAGGGCCACCAGCAGCCTGTGAAACAGACCATGAACAGCTCCTGCTAGATGCACAGAAGCCTTCAAGTGCAGACGACCCAAAGTCTAAGCACATCATGTCTTATTTACCAGAATTCATTGATACAACCTTGAACTCTCAGCTATTAGATTTCCTTGCTCAACAGAACGATGATTTTGTCAAGAACACAGAAAACGGGCATGGAGTTATAAGCTTTGGTGAACGATATGATTACCCCGGGGCAAAAGCTGCTAAGCCCATATCAGAAGACCTGCCTGAAGTTCTTGCTGAACTTGCCTCAAGGATAAAGAAGCTTTGCCCTGAAACAGTTATTAATCAATGCCTGATCAACCGGTACAATGATGAGAGCAGTTTTCTCCCTAGACACTCGGATAACGAGAACTCGCTTGTGCATGATAGTTCGATTTTCACTGTATCGTTAGGAAGCCAGTGTTCAGTTAAGTTCTCAATGAAAGGATCAGAAAGTGGGGAAGTCATTGAGACAATAGAGGGACGCAGTCTATATATCATGAGCAAGCAGTCTCAGTTCCTCTGGGACCACAGAATAGATAAGAGCAGTGAAAGGAGGGACGTGAGATTCAGTATAACGTTCCGCTACGTGAGCAGCAGTAGCAATGCAACATTGATTATTGGTGACTCAAATACCCGGTTCCTCCGATTTGGTGCTGGAAAAGGGACATTCGGTCACAAACTGCCTGGAAAAAGACTTGAATGCTTCACAATAGATCAGTTAGACCCTGCCCTTTGTGTAGGATATAAGAATGTTGTAGTACACTGTGGTGTAAATAATATTAAGAGGGGAGGGTGTGATGTTAAACACTGGGCTAATGAGCTGACGAAGAAGCTCACGAATATTTGTGAAATTTGTCCTTACTCTAAAGTTATAGTTTCACCAATCCTACCAACTAGGTCCTCCTGGCTAAATGAGAGAGCCATGGAGTTTAATAGTATATTGTTTGGGTACTGTAATACCAACGCTAGAATAGGAAATTTAGATTTTGATAGTTTTGTCGATGAGGAGGGTCTACTGAACAAACAGTTTTGTAGGTACAAGAAGCCGGATGACCCAATCCACCTGGGGTCAAGCGGTATCTTCAAACTCTCCCGGGCAATTGCCCATAAGATTCTAGGTAGCCCCGTTGATGGGAGGTTGTTCAGTGATGTTACCAAGGCCCAAAATAGATTTTCCCCACGTTCTCGTAGATCTGTAATCCAGTCATGGTAGTCAAACTGATATGCGAAATCTGCTGCTGTTGCAATAGACCTGTGCGTGCTGGACATCCATTTTTGATTTGTCAGATGTGTGACAAAATAATGCACAAAAAATGTAAAACTGATGATAACATAACCAAATTTCGAGGTGCAACATATTGCAAAATATGCACTGATGCCAATGATATTGTACGGTACAACCCTTTCTACCAAGCACCACACTTTGCAAACAATGGCCTCATTGATGATGAGCCAGTTAATTATATTGAATCTATCTACAATAGCTCAAAGATTCTTGAAAATTGCAAAACATTCTCCATAACTGAGTTGAATGCTACCGTCCTACCTAAAAATTCAGCTAAATATTTGTCCAAATTATTCCTAAATATTGATGGAAATGCATCAAACTTTGACAACTTTGCAGTTGAGCTGTCTTGTATCGACCACAAATTCTCTGTTATCGGTCTTGCAGAAACAAATACTAATCCCGAAAATGGAACTCTGTATCAGCTTAACGGATACTCCTCCTGTTACCAATCACGTTATTTTTGTCAAAAGAAAAACCAGTTCAAGGGTAAAGGATCAGGAGTGTGTCTTTACCTGCACAACTCCTTTAACTTTAACAAAATCCCTGGCTTATCTCTCTGTAATGAACACATAGAATCACTGTTCGTATCCATCACTAGCTTGCAAGACCCAACTGTTGTAGGGGTTATATACCGTCCCCCAAACGCATCACTTGAACTGTTCAACGAAGCATATGAATGTATTCTCTCAAAACTGAATGGCAAAAAAGTATATATTCTTGGTGATTTCAATATAAACATGTTGAAGGACCCATCTCCATCAGAGGACAAATTCCAAGAAATAATATTCAACAACGGCTTCATACCAACCATATCAGTACCAACTCACCAAATGCCTGGCTGTTCCAGGACCTGTATTGACAATATCCATACCAATGTAGTAGATCAAACCCTTATTTCTGGTGTGATATCTGACAAGATCTCCCACCATCACCCTATATTCACTCTTATTGAACTTTCCCCTGACTCTGTGCCAACACCTGATTCATCAGACAAAATTACTATACACTACGACTGTAGTAATGCTAACTTAGAAAAGCTCTGTCTTGAAATAGAAAACGATGTAGATAGGTTCCACCACAGCTGTAACACATTTGATTCTTTCATGCAGTTATTTCAAGAAAAGATAGATTTGTCTTGCAAACTTCTAACTCCTAGAACCACTAAACGTAACAGCATAACCAACCCTTGGATTACCCAGGGCCTAATTAATTCCATCGATAAGAAAGCTAGGTTGTATTTCGAATGGAAGAAGACTTGTACATTAAAACTACCTGACGGGGACCCAAACAAGCACATCTACTACAAGGAATTCGACAAGTTTCTCAAAAGGTCAATAAATATGGCAAAGGCTATGTGCTATACTCAAAAATTCGAGAAGTACAGCATGAATTCGAAAAAGACTTGGGAAGTTATAAATGAACTCCGTGGTAAAAATTTGTCTAGATGTAAGGACGATTTTGTCATAGATGGCCAGAGAGTTACTTGCAGACGAATAATTGCTAACAAATTTTGTGAATATTTTACATCTCTTGCAAGTAATCTCAATAAAAATGTATTGTCAAACAATAGTATTTCTCTGGAACCAGTAGAATCATTTGCTCAGTTCATGTCTAATTCAGTATCTGACTCCATATACCTAGAAGAAACTAATGAAGACGAGATTGTCGAGGTCATCAGAGATTTTCAAAATGGCAAGGCGAGTGACATACCTATAATCGTTGTAAAAAAATCGGCAAAGCTCATTGCTGGTACCTTGGCCAGGCTTTACAACACATGTATACAAAGTGGTACATTCCCAAGTATATTTAAAACTGGTAAAGTTATTCCTATTTACAAGAAAGACAATAAGGAATGCATTGAAAATTATCGGCCTGTATCAATATTACCTTTATTTGGAAAAATCTTTGAGAAGATCATTTACAAACGCCTTTATAATTTCTTCACATCTAAAGGTGTACTAACAGACTCACAGTTTGGATTTAGAAAAGGCCATTCTACCACTCATGCTCTACACAAATCTATAGACTCCGTTACAAAGTCTCTGGCTAGCAATAAACATGTATTGGGCATATTCATTGACTTGAGCAAAGCCTTTGACACCCTTGATCACAATATTCTTCTAAGCAAGTTAAATTCCTACGGTATTAGGGGTTCAGCACTTACCTTACTTAAAAGCTATTTGACTAACAGAAAGCAGTATGTTATGTATAACGATGTACCATCAGTAACAATGGACGTGAAATTTGGAGTACCACAAGGGTCAATTCTTGGGCCACTACTCTTCCTACTGTATATGAACGATATAGTAAACTGTTTTTCAGACAGTGAGGTGAAATTTGTACTTTATGCTGATGACACTAATATCTTCATAT